TGCAATTTTAACATGACATATTCTTGATAGATTATGAGATTAATTTTTTCCACTTGCATGTGCTCCTCAATCCGAAAAAGAAAAATTTGTAGGTGACAGAAACTGTTTTTCACTATCAGCAAAACTAACAGACCCAGACGTTTAGCATAGGCTCAGAAATGTCACACATAAAAACAGTTTTCATTGTGTAAACATGCGTGATGGCAGGGGAAAAATCCACTACAAGTTCCATTCCAATTGTATATATCTCTATTTCTCTACATTAGGGGGAAGTGCAGGGAAATAGTATCTGGTGCAGTACACAGAACCCAACAAAATTTGATGGAATAAAGTACCAACTGAAGGCCTACCTCCCAATAAAGTTGCTTGCAATCCATGCATTGCCAAAATTCCAAATTCTTGTTAAACAAGCAGTTTGGAATCACCTGAAATCCCTTAGCTGCTTCAACAGCTTCTTCGGTTGTCAGAGGTCTTTGGATGAACTTACCATTGCATTTTGTGCACCTTGACATCAGCTGGTCCTCAGAGATTTCCAATTGAAAGGTTTCTATTATCTGTATATACAAGGTAATATTTCCATGAGTGGACGGTCGACAAGATTTTCAATAGTGTTCACTTTTCCTCTCCATGCTCCCCCCCCCCCCCTCTCCTTTCTCATTTCATTCATCATTCAGTTAAAAAAAAATTGATTATCAAACTTCATTCGCTAGAATTTAAAGGCATTCAATTTACCTCAACCAACTGATCGTTCTTTAGAAGACTCTTCACCCGGTATATCTGATTTTTTAAGAGATAATCATGCCTCAGAAGTTTTGCATCCCGTGTTAAGAGTATTCTCTTCTCTTTACATGCTTGTTCTATTAAGTCCCTGAAAAAAACAAAAGACAGAAAAGATATCACAAGGGATGTCATATAGGGAAAAAAAATATGGCTACTGAGTTCCACTTAGAATCAACTAGGTCAAGTAATCGAAAGCCATTCAGCACCTTGATTGAGGCTTCTTTGAATAAGGAACAGCAGCATCAATGCCAACACATCTTAAATGTTTCGCCAATCCTTCAACCTGAAAGATTACTACAACGTTCCAATGACAGCCAGAAAAAGAAGCAAAAGTGCCATAGTTTGGCCTCCCAAATAGAGAGAAAAACAGAACTCTCCACCTCACAGCAAGAGAGGGCAGTAAAGAAGTCTAGGCGTATCAGTTTTATAGAAAAGCAATATCTGTAGCTAAAATGTGGTATCTCACCATCACATCACATAGAAACTTAGGGGACCCATCCCCACCGGAGGTCACATCCCAGGGTGGAGGACCTTGCCATTCTTCATCACCTTCTGTTGGCCTTTGTTTGTTTGCTATTCTACCAGATGATTTCCTTGCTTTCTTTCTCGAGATCTNCCCCAAGTAAGCCTCATCGGTATTTTATAGAAAATCGGACAGAGTTTCCCCTGTTTTTGGACTATCCCACAATTTTTCCTGTCTTAAATCAGCACCAAACATCCTAATAGCAATTCAAATGACAATGACCTTATCAATTATCCAAAATAAATATCTACCTTTAATAGTCCACCCACCAACAACTACAAATACTACTTTATCTCTAAATTTGATAAGAATGAGTGATACTCAACATAAATCTATAATAACAAAGAATACTCAAGACACTAACACTATGGAGCGACTCTAAGAGTTCAAAGAAAAGATCATAACAATAAATAAAATCTCCGCCCACGCGAACAAGTGCGAGGCTTACCAAGAACTATCAACTTGTGCGCTCTAATTAACGAAATCCACGCCTACGTCAACTGCTCTCTCTGTAAAAAAATTAGCGGGGAATGAGTCGCTAGCTCAGTGAGTAATAACACTTAACCACAACCGTTTTTATTGGGGACAAGTCAGAAAACATGCTAGTATATTATGCAGAAAACATTATAAGAATGCCCTTTCAGAAACAATACAACAGTCTCATCATGTGTTTCGCATAAAAAAATCAATTGAAAAATTCGGTAATAAACTCGGTAAGCACTGTCTCATAGCAAACCTTTATATTTGGGAGGTTTCCAAGAAAGGATCATGTAATCAGTATCACTGTGTGGACCCCTTCGTAAAAGGAGTCATATATAACTGTAGGTCCCTATTCGATAGAAAACTGTAACTGTATGCTAGTTCTACCTTCCCACTATGGAGGGCTATAACTGTAATTGGTAATCTGTAAATACAAGGTGCACCGGGTCTAACGAACCCGCCGTTAGCTACGGGATCCTTCAAAGTCTCCTCCCATTTATACTCTTTCTTGTAAGCAGTAAATACTCGTACAAAAGTATTTTCAAAATAATAAAGGGCATATCATTTCTTATCAAATCTTATAATTTTATTTCGGTAACGTAAATCATGTCTCAAGTAATAATACGACATGTCTTGTAACAGTGATAATATTTAAATAACTATAACATCTCAAGTAACGGTAAAACATATCTAGTAACAGTGAAAAATTTAGATTAACCGGTAATCATCTCAAGTAAATTGTTCGGTACCATATCAAGTAAAAGACTTGTCCCACATGCAATTTCAAAGCATCGGTAACACATTTATTTTCAAAATTATATATAAACCATGCAGGTTATGAAAAAAAATTGTGATAAGATTACTACTCACAGTACTCGTGCAGGAATACCAAACACGTCACCTCGAGCACTTCGTTCCACTTCTTTAACTGCCTATTTGTGACAAAATCAATCTATGTATTAACTTCGTGAACTTCCAATGTAACTGGTCTACACCTCCCCCATTTGATAAAAATATTTTCCTGTTTCATTCCTTTATAATATGAATGTTGATGCTCTGTTAATCACTTCAATATACTAAAATGGATAGGAAACTAATTCTTCTTTCCATGTTTGTCATTAAATTTAGATTTCTAATACAATTTGGAATGGGCAAAGAAGAACTTAGGTTTCTTCGAAAATTAGCAATTTACTCTATTTTATGTAGTGTTTTGCAAGCACTCACAATACCTCCAAAGTAACTACCAGAATATTATTCAATTACTCAGAATAAGAAAATTAATCTTATTCCTCAGTATTTCTTGTATCTAATTCAATTGAAACTCATTAGTTACCAATATCACTATTTAACTCAAACCATAATAAATTAACGATACCCATATCGATGGAGTAATACGATATACCTTGAATTTAGAATTAACAATGGTTGGGATTGATTATATTGAATAAAGTACCTCGAAATCTAGACAATTTGTGGTTGAAAATAACTTTTCTTGCTGCACCAAAGCTTCCGCCTAACTCTTCCTTCTCTAATTTGCTCCACAATTCGCTGAACCAAAAGCTTCCCTTAATCCTTCTTCTAATCTTCATGTTTGGTGCAAAGTAAATGTGTTTAACGGGTGGGCCGGGCCGGGCCGGGCCTATATTTTTTGGACCCGTACGGGTTACGGTCCGGGCCGGTTACGGGTTGGGTCTTAACGGGTTTAACGGGTTCGGGTTCATTCGGGTAAAAATTGAACCATAAGGGTTACGGGTTGAGGGGGCCGGGCCGGGCCGGGTTTAGTATAATTTTAATTTTTTTTTTGGATTTTGTATAAATATTGTAAGTTATAGTATTAATACAAAGTACTAACATAAAGAATACAAGGAAGATGGGAAAAATTGCACTTATAAATTGCAAGTGCTATATTTATTTCAAAATTATAAAATTAAAGTTTGCATTTAAAAAGTAAATTAACAAATAAATAGTAAACTAAATTTTCATGCATAATAAATTAATAATACTTCAAATTAATCTAACAAACTAAATCATTAAGCATAAATACGTCTAATAATTTAAAATAACACAAATTGTTTTAAAATCTTAAAATAACACATATATAGCATATTTTAAAAATAATACGTTACCATCATATTCTATGATTTGAGCATTTATAGTTTTATACCCTAAATATATACACTATATGTTAAATTCCAACAATTTTAAATTATGTTAATTAGTATACAATAATTGGTATATTCATGGTATATTCATGATATATTTATAGTATATTCATGGTATATTTATGGTATATTCACGGTATATTCATGTTATATTCACATTTCGAGCCGGTCCGAGCCGGTCCGGTTAATCGGTTTAATGGCACTGTTCATCTAACGGGTTTTACGGGGCCGGGTAACCCGTTTCAAAAATTTAAACCGTCCAAACCCACCCCAACCCCCTACCCAGCCCAGCATAGCCCCCCCTTACCGGTCCGGGCCGGTTCCGGGTTCTACCGGTCTCGGCCGGTCCGGAACCGGGCTGACCCAGCCAGTTTAACACCCTTAGTTTACTATATTGGGATATTCCTATGACACCTTCAAATAATTGACCTACTATCTTTGGTTAAAGAGTAAAAAGTATTTCTAAAAAAATATTTTTGTTAAATAAATAGTTTTTGGTGGAAGATATGTCACTTAAAAAGTATTGCAACCAAACACTAAACTATGTTTTTAAAAAATAATAGTATTTTTTAAATAATTCAGATGAAACACAAAATTGATGTACGTTTTCAACTGGTTTTTATCTTTTCATTATTGTCATCTTAAATGAGTATTGGTCCTAATTCATTAGAGTTCCACGAGTTGACTATATCATTGTGTTATGTGATAGATGTTTTGATGTTTGGTTATATATCACTTCTAAATGTAGATCCTCTGAGTCGTTAAATTCGTTTGAGTTTTATTCTTTCGTAGGATAAGATTGTATACTAAGCTTATTAACATTCTTTTACTTGTTAAAGAACTTGATGATGCGGTATATGAAGTGAACTTGAATCATAATATTTTCAGAAATCGGGTAGAAGCAAAGCAATATTCAATAAAGTAGGCCAAATCGGGTCAAAGCACAATATTGGGTTGGGCTTTACCTTTAGCAATGAACCGTTACGTGGGCCATAAAAGCCCTAACTCCATACTAACCAGTTAAGTGCCCTATGACCCGTAACATTTTTGGCGCTAATCTCCCTTTTCCCGCGAATAGTATTAGTAAATAGCGCGCGAAAATAAATCCATTCTCGGTTTCTTCAACCGCCAAAGGAAATTAAAAACCCTATTAAAAATCCCAATCTTTTTGCCCTTTCCTATTCTCACCCTTTCACAGACAACATAGATCGTAACTACATTCTCTGATTTTCATTATTGGACAATGGTTTCTTCAACAACAGTGGTGTCGCGGAGAAGAACCCAAGCTCCTAAACCACACTCAAAGTCCAAACAAAGTGAAAATGTAGAAGACGATTACGGCGATACCTTGTGTGAGAAATGTGGATCCGGAAATAACGCAGCTGAGCTCCTGCTTTGTGACAAATGCGACCGCGGATTTCACTTGTATTGCCTAAGACCCATTCTTGCATCTGTGCCCAAAGGCTCCTGGTTCTGCTCCTCTTGCGTTATTAACAACGAAAAGCTAACCAGTATGTTCACGGATTTTCTCTGGTTCCGTACATTTTCAAACTTCTTGTTTAGAATTGTTATTTTATTGTTTTCTACTTTGCTAAATTGAAGTTTTTGATGTTGGTTGCTAATCTTTCCTTGTATGGTGATAATGATGTTATAGCCTAATATTGCTTGGCTCCAACTCGAGCCCATTTCAGAAATTTCATTTCTTGGTGTTTAAGATTATTCTGTTGAGTGAGATTGATTTCAGCAATCGTGGCCATGAACAAAAAATTAAAGTTAGACAACCGTGATCATATATCATATTATAATGCCCTCATCTCTACATGATTATAAAGATTTAAATCTGGTACATGTAACAAAATGATTGTCTTCGCTATTTCATCTTTTAAGGAAATAAGGGGGATCCAATGATTGCTTATACATAATTTATTAGTGATTGATAAAGGTACTCTTTCTCTAATATGCAGAATTTCCTCTCATACAAACAAAGATAGTTGATTTCTTCCGGATTGAGAGACCATCAAAGTCATTATTCAATCTTAGTCCAGGCAAAGGTACTTCCTAAGTCTCTTGCACCCTTTATTAGGCTATGAATTTTTCTTATTTGTTTGCTCTTATTAATTGAGATCTGAGATGATTTTACTTTTGGTTTGTTATTTGCTTTTTGAATTTGCTAGATTGCCAGAAAAAGCGAAAACGTAGTAGTTTGGCAATGTCAAAGAAGAGAAGAAGGTTATTGCCCTTTATTCCTACTGAGGATCCTACCCGGAGATTGGAACAAATGGCATCTCTTGCTACTGCTTTGTCAGCATCTGGAGCAGATTTCAGTAATGAACTTACTTATATGCCAGGCATGGCCCGAAGATCAGCTAATCGTGCATCACTTGAGCGAGAAGGAATGCAGGTACAACCTGAAAGGTGAACATTGAAGGCTCAACATACGGCCGTAGTAAAGTTGGTTGTGTTCTAGTGTAGACTGGTGCGTTAGAGAACAATATTGGAGGTTCCCAGGAAACTGGCACCTGGGGGCGAGCTACCGAACGCATGCTAGGAACATTGGACGGAATTGGAGGCTGCCTACATGGGATGAGCAGGCTGGGCACACGGGCGTTGGTAAACCTCACCTGACCCGGGGGATCGAACTCAGGGAACCTAGGGATTGCCCTTGGCGATTCCCTACCATTAGACCAAGCGTCCCACA